ACCAGAAAATTACAAGTTACAACCATAGAACAAAGGTGCTGGATTGCATGAGGAACCAATCATATGGCTGAAAACCAGAAAATTACAACCATAAAACTAGTGACTTTACATCAAGAAGCTCATCAGAAAATTGTTTCACTGGCCAGTCAGATTTCAAAGGGGCTGGATTGCATGAGGAACCAATCCTACTGGACTCAACCATGGCTGGATGGCAACCATAACTTTGCTTTTCAGGAGTTGTCGAAGACTGGTTATCCCCGTCACCACATTTGGGCATAATGTTCGGCGGGAGGAAATGTTGTGTTCACTGCCAAATCTCGTCAAATGTTCGGCACGAGGATTTGATCTGTTGGTCGGATCAGTTGATTTGCTATGCCCAAAGTGCCAGCTCCGTGTAGAGACGAATCGGTAGGGACGATTTTGTAGGAAATGGAAGTGGAAAAATGAAAGAGTTTTTCGGCGGGTGGAAATGGTAGCGAGTGGCGGGACTAACTCTTTCCCTTTTGATTTTCATTAGGTCACTTGACTCACTTCCCATTCATTTTTCAATTTGTTTGCAAATGTCCAAATAAAGTGCCACGTCATTAAATTTTGAATTTCTGGAAATTCTGGCCAACAGTGTTCTGTACACATGGCTTTTCTCAAAAAAAATATACAAAACTTTTCCGCCCCTGAAATGGGATCCTGTTCGTTTGGCTTAATCCAAGATTTTAACAAGTTGTTTGGACTATGACTGAAATTCTGTACATTTCTCTCTCTCCATCAGCATTTACTTTTTACAGCCATTGTTCCAATTTTGGCTACCCAAAAACACCAATTTATATATATAACGTGGATTTGAGTCACATTATTTTGGAAGAATGTATTTTAAAATAGTAAATTGATGGAAAATATATGGTTGAAAATAAGGGAAAAGTTATTGATGTGATGAAAAATATTATTTTATTGAAAAATGTGTGATTGAAAATGAGTGGAAGAATGATAATGAAAATTTTAAATTGGCGGGAGCATATAAAAAATTGTTACGACGTATATCATCGTCTATTTATCCTTTTGAAACTTTTGCGGTCCTCCTAGGCTAGAATTTTATATGCTTGTTTGGCACCTATATATACATGCTTGTGCGTCTATAAAAGCTTAAAATGGCGGAGAAATACATGGAGAAAGAGGGAGATGCTGCAGAGTTTTTATTTGAAACCGGCCGGTACGGCGGCAATGGAGGTTACACGGAAGAGGAGGAGGAGGGTACAGAAGAACTGGGGTTTCTTGAAAATGATGCTCGTTGGTTTTCACGTTCTTCCTCTGTGGTTTCTCAGCAATGGCCTCACAGTTTCAAGTAAGGAGATTACAAAGAGTTGCATAAATTCATAACATTAACATATTTGTATAAAGTGTAAATTTTTAGGTAAGCTTATGTCTATTTTTACACCTTTGATGACGGGAGGCCAGGTCGAGTCCCATGAAAAAGGAAGAAGAAAAATTTAAAGCCAAACTTTGGGAAATATAGTTAGAACATGTTCGGCATGGCTTAAAAGCTACAAAAGGAAGCCAAAAGGCAGTGTGAGTATTAAAGGTTATACCTTTTTTTTTTATTTATTAGCATTGAAGTTAAGCCAGACATACTCTACCAAGTTGAACTAGACCACATACATCGAAACTGTACTCTTGTCACACCTTTGAAGGTGAACAATGAATTCGGCAGGGCGTGTTAAAAGTAAAATTTAAATAAATTTTTCCGATCTCAAATCACTTAATCTTTTCGATGAAGTGGTTGAAGACTTAGTGCGTGAATTTCATATTACTATAGGTTTGCATTGAACTTTGCCTTGAGTCATAATCTTTTCGTGATACTAAGGGTCTGTAACGTCTGTTTGACGTAAAATTTTTGAGAATAGATTTTTTAAAAATTGATCTTTTTGGAGAATGTATGGTTAAAAAATAAAGAAAAGTCTATGGATCCACGTGTAAAATTATTTTATTGAGAGGATGTGCGATTGAAAATAAGGTTTAATGAATTTGTACCAAAAAGGGCTGAGGATGAGTGAGCATACGATATATATTCAAGACGAAGTCCCATGGATGCTATTCTTGAATCTTGGTAACATAGTTTTAGGTGAGAGTAGGAGAGATTTTAATTATAAGTTAGAACTCTAGAGAAACACTTCAGAACATAAAGATTTTAGATTAAGTAGAATTAAGATAGCATCTATGTTATGCACTTCTAGTCAAAACAAGAATAATTAAGAACTATATATACTTAAGTCACTACAGAGGATTATTTTCGAAAAAATGGTCCTTTTTAAGGTGAGAACAACTTATAGCTTCACTTGGTTGGCCTTCCTACAACAACAAATGCCTTTTTCTTCTATGAGGTCTAAAGCAAAACAAGGATGAGAAGTAGCATTTGGTTTAAACCTACATAACTGCAACAAATTTACATTTTGTTGCTTTTGGCTACTCCAAAATTTAAAGGGTGTTTGGTATGAATTAAAATTAGATTTTTAGTAGATCGAGATAGAAGTTTTTGAAATGCGTGGTTGAAAAGTTGTGGGACCCATGAAAATGTGGTTAATATTGATTGTTTGACTTTGACTTGGATCAAACTAAGATTTT